AAACAGTTGTTGCCCTTTCCAGTGCCGAAACTGAGTACAGAGCTATGGCTCATGCTACTTGCGAGATGACTTGGGTTCACTCATAGTAGATGGGCATTGTTTTCTCGAAGCCCATGACACTCTACTGTAACAATCAAGCAGCTATCTACATTGCAAGCAATCATATATTTCATGAGCGGAGAAAGCATATTGAAATGCACTGTCATTTTATCCGTGATATGGCGTTACCTGAGAAGATTGTTACTCTACATGTTCAATTGACTAATCAAAATGAGGACATACTTACAAAAGCTTTGTCACGGTCATTGTTTGATGCATTTTGTAACAAGTTGGGCATGATTAATATCCTTGCACCGACTTGAGGGGGACTATTAGAGTGGAGAGTACTTTTACTGTCTATTTTCTTTATTAAATTCTTTTTAGTCCCGCATCAGGTACACTTGTAACCTTGAACTATTTATCTATCTATATAATAGAAAGGACTGGTCCACAATGGGATCAAGTCACTTTTCCCACAATAACAGTTTCAATCCCTGCATAATAGGAAGACAAATTGATGCCTACCTAGCTCACATACATTTTGGTGATATTTGAATTGCTTAGACCTTCCTGAGCTCTTTTGACAACAGAAGAGAATCAAAAAGCAAGAGAAGGTATGCACACAATATAAGACAAAATTGTAGAGGAAAATAAAAAACACCGAAAGATGATTATGAATGGCATTAAGGGCGGATCCAGAAACTTTGGGCACTGGGAGCAAGATTGCAAGCTACAACTATTACATAATATTTTTATCCAAATATTAGTAACATCAAATCCAAATAAATATTTTTGTATAGACAAATACAGTCAATTCAAGCGGTTGTCTGGCAAGAGACGAGTTTGTAGAAGTTGGACATGTAGGGGGCTTGCAGGAGGTAGCAGTTCAATAGGAGACGTGTCGAACTGCAAGTAAAGCGTTCTCACAAGAGGCAATCAGAAGGGATCGCAATATTGGGGCTGGTCCTTCGCAATTTAGTGAGTGGCAAAAAGTTTCAAATTTGCAAATAAATATTAGTAAATGGATAGGTTTTTTAGAATTTGGGTGATGCTTTCGGATATACAGATAAGTTTCGACTTTTTCAATGTCTACATTGGGCTAATAACTTTTTACAATTATTAAATAACTTCTCATAACTTTCAAAGTATTCAGAAACCCTCTTTAAGTTTAGATGTTATCAAAAACCCCTTTAACTACAATATTTTTATCATAAAACCCTCTAAAGTGTCAACCACAGTTTTCACCAGAAAAAAATCCATCTATTATAAATGTATCCACTAATGTGAAATTAGCATTAATGTTGTTAAAGGTTATTTTTTATAAAAGCTGAAAGTTAAAGGGAGTTTTAGGATAATCCCTAACTAAAACTGGGTTTTCTGATATTTTCAAAGTTTTGGGTGTTATCTGATAATCGTCCAAAGTTAAGAGGGGTTTTCTTATATTTAGCCTTTATATTAAAAATTTTGAGAGGCTTTACGCATGGTTTTAAATGTTGGCCGACATGCCGACATGTCGGATCAGAGGCTAGAGTAACACGAATATGGCCATTTCAAGTCGGATGTCGTTTTTGAGATCCATGTTGGACATGTCGGGGAATATTGAGAACATATCGGCTGATTTTCAGACTTGAAAAATCGAAAATCGAGCGATTTTTTTATTTTTTATTTTTTTGAGCTGATAAGTATTGGGATTTGCGTTTAGTACTCATAAGTAATGTGATTAATTCTTTTTTTAGCATTTTGTTCCTATAGTAACCTGATAGCATATAATACCGATTTGGGTAAAGAAAAAGATATTGCTCTCTTTTCCGTCGCGATCTCCTCTCGTTCGTCTTTGTGTCTACAAATTAAAATTGAGAATACATAAAAAGTATGATGTAAACAATAAGTTTGAACCGTAACTTGAAATCAATTCGAAGTCTAACACTTTATATCAATTTTATGCAAGACACTTACTTTATGTTAATTTTATGCAAGGCACCTCGAAAGTTCTAGTTTGACAATGTGTATTTTATTTATTTATTGCCATAATATTCAAATGTTTCCCTTCAAGAAATGGAAAACGACTCGTGTCTTGATGATGAATACTCAACTCAAGTAGGATAAGTTATAACAAGACAAGTGCATTCCATCTTGGTGACCAAAATTGAGTTGAAATCTATCGGATATGGCAATCCGATATTTAGTATATGTCCCCCGACATATCCCCAATTTTCTCTATCCGACATGAATTTTGGCTGTCCGACATGAATCCGATATCCGACATTTAAAACATTGGCTTTATGAAGAAATCTAATGTTATGGACCAAATTGTAAAATGTTCCCTACATACTCTATAAATTCTCGGGGGTCAATGGGGGCGATTCATTCCACTGCCCCCATTGTAAATCCGCCAATGAATGGCATAGTTTCAATAAAAACCAGTTGGAAGATATTAAAAGCCATTTCGGCCTCAGCACTACCATACTTATGCTCATTCTACGTTAAGATTCATTTCCCTTCAAATTTCCTTGCTTCTAAAAAATTCCTGTTTCGAATAAAGGCCATGGCCAGGTCTTAAATAGAGGACCTTCAGTTACTCAACCTACAGCTTTACCCGTGATCCAGGCTAGCATTCTATGCTATAACCTGGTGCACATTTTAGTGTATGCAGCAACTTAGAGCCTATGCTTTGAGTTTGACTCATCTTCTCACCTACAAGTGATACTCAAGACACAATTAAATTTTACTAAAGAAGTAGATATGGATTTGTCAAAATGATGGAGAATAAATCCATATAAAACAATAGCACATATGATACTTGTATTTCTTTATGGATTAAGTATTTTTAATTGCCTTTGCTATCCATGTATACATTTGAAAAAATATTAATAGAATAATTCAAAAAAGAATAACAAGACAAGGTGAAAAGAAGAGCCTCGTTCTTCAGTCAGTCCCATGCAACATGTCAACCCAGTTCGACCAAATCTATACAACCTAAACAAGTGGATGCTCCAGTGACATGATTAGGTTCATAAAGGTTTAATATAAGTAGCTTTTACTCTTCATCACTTCAATATTTTAGATTATTAATCAAAGTAAGGGAATATGGTGCTGTTAGACACTATGACTTAGATTCTGCTATAGGTAAACTCGGTTCACTAAAAAAGATGGAGGACTGCTCGTTGGTTGCATTAGTTTAAATTGCATGTTTAGACGGCAGGTGTACACATTCACTAGCGGTCTTTTAGTCTTTGTGGCAAGCTCCTCCATGCCTATATTCATGAATTTGGATATATCACCAGTTGACAACAGTTCCACAGTTGGTTACAAACAATAGCAAACTTCCTATCTGAAACATTTCAATTTTGGTTCATGCTTGATAGCCAACGCCGTTTTGATAGAAATACTTACATGGTAATGACGATAAAAATGATTGTGTTTACATTTAATAGTAAAAATACTTTTTCATAAATACTCAAAAATCTAGAAATCCATCTTCTATTCAAGAGCCCAATAAGAACAGTTTTTTAAGGAGTTCACTGGGAGGGTGTTTAGGGATCCTGACAAGCTAGGCCCTAGGCTCCACCATGGATACCGAAACTTCTCTAAAATTTTAAATGCTATGATAAGGGTCACCTTTCATGATGCAAAAGCATCAACAGACTGATTTCTTATGATTCCCTTATTTGCTACTTCAAATAACACAATTGCACTTACTTACTAGGGGTTTTCTGGGCATTTTTGCTAGTATAGAAAATAAAATTGAGAGGAAGCCTTCAAACCTCGAGTAACAAGAAGAAAGCCTTGAATGGAAATGTGAATTCCATACATCTTCCAACAAACGACTGGAGCAAGAGCTTCTGCTTCTATTAGGATTTGTTAACCTATCAAAAGTTTAAGTCCCCTAGGACCCCCACCAGAAAACAAAAATACTCTACACTATCAGATCTATCAGTTTATCCTTTAGGATTCAATAACTTTAGAAATTGAGGAACAAAGATTGGTAAGCTTATATGTATGAAACTCTTCCCAATAAAGGTTCAAAAAGTTGAAAACTCGTAACTAGGTTATTTTCTAGAGTTCTTATTACTAGTATCCTGCCTACTTATACCTAAGCCCAGTATCTTCTTCATATACTATGTTATCTGGGTACTTCCATCATGAAGCCGTACCCGTACCCGGCACGTACCCGATACTTACCTGTACCCAAATTTCATGGACACTCCTTGGATATATGCAAACATTTACCCAGACATTTACTCAATTATATGATATATGTTCTGATTTAAAATACTTCTTGTACACTTCTTGGACATATATCCTACATTTCATGTCCAATTCTTGGAACTCGTTGGACATGGGTCCGGTTGTTTAAGATCCTATCCAAGTTAAAAACTATGATTTAAAAGAGTGGTTTGAGTGTCTAGTTAAAAAAATGAGCTTTCTAAATTTATAACATTAAAAGCACATAATTCAAAAAATAATAATGATCTCATGTAAATTATTAATCTTGACATATAAATGTAGCCATGTCCCCGTATCCTATATTTCACAAATTTGTCGTGTCCCATACCCGTACCCACACCCACACCCCCCACTGGAACCCGTACACGTTTTCGCGCAACTTAGTTCGTATAGAATAATAACAGTAAAATATCAAGTTTATCTTTCTGTTTTAAAAGAAATTCCGCATTTTTTCCCATTAAGACAGAAATCTTAATCTCTAACTTCATCAACCTTTGAGATCATGCAGTGTTATATGCACCAATCAATTTTGGTCACTGTACACTCTACCTGAAATTAAAGTGAGAATTAGGGATAGATAATTTTATTCTGCTAATTTTCATAATTGATTAATTTCTAATGAGGATTTTCCAGAACAACAGTCACTTGGATATGAATTTGACCTACAACACATTTTCCTATGCCTCCATTGAGACGAAGAAGATAACAAAATAGAAAAAGCTGAGAATACTTACTTTGACAGCAATCATGAGCAATGCAATAGCTGATTGAAGGGTAGCATCATTTCTATGCTGGTACACCTTAAGATAATAACATAATTGTTATAGGCAAAGGAAAATAACACATAAAGAAATCATGAGAATATGCAAGGAAAAAAGGAGAGCTAAACTAATATAATAAAGAAAAATGATGGTTATTCATAAGCTACTAAAGACATAATCCTCAAACATTTGGCTGCAGGTGACACCCCACAGTTTAGGTATTGGTGCCTTCTCTTTTTCAACACTACTCTATTACCGTTTCTTTTTTATTTCTTACTTTACACTGTGTGGTTTATTGAAATAAACATGAACGTGTTATCAGTTATCCCAACGAGAACTTTATGTGTTGAATATGGTCTTTCTCCAAATCCTAAAGAGGACATTGCTGTCTCTTTTCCAAGTCTGCAGGCGCACATACTTATTTATACTACTCATGTTGAACCTTTGTGCACATAATAATGGAGAGAACTGGAAATAAGTTTTGCAAATAATGCATTGCAGACTTCTATGTCACACACATTATTTATGCAAAGTGAAGTTAGTTGGTAATTTCTGCATGGAAATAGACATGCATGAACACATAAAAGAACATGTGTTCTTTGAAAGACGGAAAAATCAAAATTTACTATAGAATTATCATACATATCATGGTTTCTCAGGAGAATAGTACACGACTCCTTGCCATGTTCATTTACTTTTATAAGTAGTGGACATGGTAGATAATTTATTATTATAGATTATCATCAGACATGGTATCTTCTACTTACCGTGCATTGATTTTTGTCAAGTCTCTTTTTTTGAAAATGTTTATGAAACAATATGTGTCCTTTAAGCCTTTAAAATTGAGAGCATTACAGTCTATATTGGTCGAAACTAATTGACCCAGTAAACTTATAATACTAGAAGAAGAATAGATTCTCTATCAAAGAAAACAGAAGAACTGAGATTAAGTAATAGAGCTACTAAAATCATGAACTTAACTAACTATTCCAAGTTTCCAACACTTTTGAGAATTATATGTCACCTTTCATCAGAAAAGTCAAGGTTTAATCACAATTACACATTACGATATCTATAATAATTAGACCTAGTTTATGGATATAAAATTATAGGAGCATCCATATCTTCAATTGCAAAGGTGGTTGAAATTTGAGCAAGGCATCAAGAATGACTGCATAAAGTAATTAAATCCAGTTGTTACTAGATGTAAGAAGTCAAAGAACAAATACAGATGTTTTTTATACAGTGACATAAAGAGTCAATAAAATTTTTTAGGAAAAAAAGAGTGCATATAATCACTACATACATCCAATTTTCCATGTTTCATTCCTCTATCTATGTCGACTCTCCATATAGGTAATTATCTTTTAGTTCTGGCTGTTACTACGTACTATTTCACTCTTTGTATGAAGCAAACATCTGAATAAAGCAAAAAGATTGTGGCATGAAAATCAGATAGAGTCTAATACACTTTCAGACTCCGTCCATTTGCCACATTTCTCGTCAATGAAAGGGTAACCAGAATAAGTTAAAAGATCCAACATTACACATAACAAATATGCATGTCTCAAGACTGCATCTCTGGTATTGATATTAACTTCTAATAAGAGACTGTTCTGATAGGTCAATTTTAGTTCCCAATAGGAACCTAACTGGAAAAAAACACCATTTACATATTATCTTTTGAGATGTCGGGAGTACTAGTGATCAAGAGATGCAAATCATCAGAAATATTTCTATATAACGAACAATTCCAGGCCACAATGAACTTTCCTAAGGAGGAAGAGGAGAAAGAAAGAAAAATTATGCTTTACTGTTCTTTAAATCGCGCACAATTTATAATTCTTTGAATTGACTTCTGAGGTTTTATGTGTCACTTTTAACAGACTCTTGCCTTGTTCTCTGAACTTCCAAGCAAACAAACTAAAGACAGTGTACATAGCTCAGAAATACTAACAAGTGCCTCATTAACTTTAAGATAAAGTTGATATTTTTGAAGGACAAAAAAAACATACCCGTTTAACAAGTGGTGGTAATTGAAAAGCTGTCTGTGGAGTATCATTCTTTGAAAGTGCATAATCAATACCTCTGCAATTGTAAAAGAAAACCATACTAAGCATTTAATGTGAATATTACGATAACTGACCAAATTCTGGTACGTAGCAACCAAGTATGACACTATCGCTCATGAAAGAACATCTTTTACTACCATCAAATTAGAGCTAGGAATCTTGAATATTAGAATTTCAATAACTCAGTCCAAGAACATAAATCATGCCATTCAAAAAATTCTAAACATTGGTCCTTAATGTGAAGGAAAGAAGATTAATAGGAAGCACAAGAAAAGACCAATTTTGGTGTAGCGGAAGGGTCCTATTACATGGTATCAACGAAACTCAGGTTCATTTCCCATCATCCAGGAATTTAAAGTGGATTTTACAAAAGATATCGCTGTGTGAGTAACTGTTGAGGGCATGATAGAATATAAATTTATAGCCCTCAACACTTACCACAACTTTGAAGTTTTGGTGCAGTTGGAGGGTCATATCACATGATTCTTTTTTTTTAAGATAATATATGTAAATCATACACAAATCTCCAAGTTATAGCATAACATACATATTTCAAGACAACCCAATTCCTTGATGGTGATCATTGATAATGAGATAGAAGTTTGATATCTTCTTTATTCAAAATAGAGTTACATTAGATCAACATGACATAGGAGAACTACGCAATACCTTTAAAGAATCACATGTTCTTTGCCTCAAACCCACTCAATTTTCGAGGCCTCATTTACAATTGCAAGTACTACCTCATCATAGAACAATTTCCCCATTTTCTCCCATCTTACTCTTCTATCTCCTCCCATTCCCTCTTCTACCTCCTCCCATTCGCGCTTCTATGGGAGATTCTACAGTTGCAGTGGAGAAGCCACCACCATGTTCTCTTCCTCCTAATCTAGTAAGCAAGCATATATTATGCATGCATATGTATGTACATAAGTACAAACATATGTATATAAAATAGATACATGCATGCATACATACATATACATACATATATTATCTATTTTAGAACAAATTTGAAATTTTCAACATAAAACATTCAACTCAAACACGCTGTCCATGAGATAGGGCATCTTAGATTCTTACAAATGCATCTTTTTAGCGTTCATCTTTTTACATCCTTTCTAAAAATCAAGAATATAGCAGAAACACCCAAAAAATTCTCCTTTTCTCTTGAATTAGAAAGAAGAGTAATAGCAAGGTGAAGGACAAGGAGAATAATTAAAGGGAGTCCATAGTGGTGGTAGAGGTGGATGCCTAAGGAAGCATGTGTAGGTGGAGTTGAGGAGGTGCTTCGAGTTTACAGAGTAGAGAGGGAGGTCATAGATGATGTAGTGCTGAGGAGAAAAAGAAGAGTAGGTTATGATGAGGTGGCAGTCACAATTATAAATGGACGTTGTGAATCTTTATATGTCTTGAGGCACAAACATGATTCCGCGAAGGCACTAAATAGACTTACTATTACACATAGCATCTCTTAACAATGGCTTGTGTTGTGTGCATAGAAGATAAAAAGAAATGTGCAGTATTTGTGCGTATATGTTAATGCACACATAAACGCAGATATCTGTTATGTCCCTCCACATAGCGGGACAGTGTTCTGATAACGTGTCGCTAGGGAACCAAAAGGATTTGGATGTCGACCGGTAGGACACAACTCACATACTAAGTACCTGTATCTGCCAAGATATGGATATGGATATGTAAGTGAAATATCCTGATCCGTATTTGAATATGTGAATAATTGTATTGATTATGTAATAGAAATTGTTTTGGTCATTATAGTAATAGATTTGAGGTAAATTTTAATGATATAGAGATCTATTTTAAAATTCAGATATGTCGAACATATAATTGAATCTTATTTGATAACTTTATTTTATTTAAACATCTTTTGCATCACATGACCATATATTTTTCCAGCCCATTTGTTTTCCCTTACATTTTTCCCTTTTTTTGCATCTCATAAATTTTCCAGTCCATTAGTTTTCCCTTACGTTTTTCCTTTTTTTTGCATCTCATACGTTTTTCCCTTTTTTGCATCTCATACATTTTATTACTGTTCTAAAAAGCCTCCACCTAGCCCGCTTATGCATACGCCCAGAGCTAGGCGGCACCTAGGCCGCCCGCTTAGTGCCTAGCTCATAGGGGTACCTAAACTGCACATCTACGTTTTGGGAGCATCTAGGGGAGCATGGCCGCTTACATGGATTGCACTCTATAGGCATTGATTATGATTTTCTTCGTTGCAACATCCACGCCCCTCATCCTCTTCCAAACTCCTCCAATCTCCAACTTTGAACACCTCCTTTATCTCCTCCGACCTTCAGCAAAACCTCCTCAACCATCACTTAAACGAAGAAAGAAATCTGCCTAGGCACCAATCTGGCGCCTAAGCTTTTCATAACATTAACATTTACTATCAATTATTGTAATTAATTATTAATTAAAAAATAAAAAATAAAAAATCGCCTAGGCACCTGCCTATGCGCCCAAGCTCTAAGCGTCAGGTCCAACGCCTAGACCACTTGCGCTTTCTTTAACCTTGTATTTTCTTATCTAATCCATATTTTTACCTTTTGGAGATACATATATAAGTTTTCCTTACCGATACATCCATATTTGCATCCATACACATAATTAATACGCGGATACAGATATAGTAACACCATACTTGGTCCGTTTGGACAACTATATGGCACACATCCAAGCAATCACTTATGATTAGGATGTTGTTGATTTGGGTTTTAGCTCCTTGTATGTGTGTACGTGAGTGACACAAACTAGAGGACAAATCATTAATTTTGTGTTTGTGGTTATCATTGTACTGTGATTTATAACAATTCTATGTTTTTCCATAACAATTTGATGCTAGCAAACACCTAATTAGTGCCTCTTTATAGTTAAATTTCAGAAAAAATATTGGAAAGTACAATTCCATCTACATTTCTCAACTAGAAAATGGCATCAGGATTCACTTTCAGATTTTGGCTACTTAAGTGGGTGCAGGCGTATTAAAACAAGGCCCACTTCAGAAAGAGGATATGGGATTAGTGTGTGCATATTACATGTATGGAGCACAATTAGATTTGGGTTTCGGATTCAAGTCAAATGTGCTGACCCCAATTTCCTCTCTTCGTCGATGACCAACCTCCTCTCTTTCCACTGCTTGTCCCTTCTATGTCAATTGTAGACGTCACCGCTTCCTCCAGTGCAACAATGACCTTCAACACTTCCAAAACACATGACGTCTATTTAATATTTTAGCTTTTCTTCATCTTCCAAGTTGTTATTTACTCATTAGCCTCCCATTTTTGACACGAAAACTCGGCTGCTTTAGCCACAGGCAACAGCCACAGCTTTGTCACAGTCAAAGCTGAAGAGGAGTGCGAGAGAGAAGGGGGAAGGAGGAAAGATGAAGAAGAAATGAAATTGCAATGACACTGGTCGCTAATTTCAGATTTACCCCGATTATAACTGATTTGAATTTAGCACAATGTAAGCTGTGTGTTTGTAAACCTAGACAAAGACCAACACTGAAAAGTGTAACAAAATTTCAGAAATAACAAAGAAAAGATGAAAGAAGCAAATTGGAACTACCACTTACCTTTCTCTTCTCCGCAACTCCTGCTTCATAAGATATACAGAGATGAGTTTTAGGCTCATATCTACACAAAGAAGGCAAATCCAAAGTGCCCAAAGGTTTTCTCCTATACTTTCAACCTCTGGATTTGAGGCTTTTTCGAACAAAACATCAATCTCGTCTTCTAACTGATGGTACATTCAATCAGACTCGCCCGATAGACCAGACCGTTTAACCGGTTTTAAGGAAACATGCTAAAACTCCATCGGTAATTACAATTAATAAAAAATGGTAGCAGATAGCAAATCAAACAAAATTAAAAACCTGCATTCACAACATTCTAAATTTACACACAAATTGCGAAACTTAATCGAGAGGAATATGATTCCAACACAAACAACCATCCACTTCATGAAGAACCTGGTTGTGTTGGTAATCAGTGGAAGAATGTTTCGTTCTACAGGGCAAAGCCTGAAAGTTTGACCCATTAACGGTTTTGCATCAAAAATCAAACCAACAAAAAAACCCAACCAAAATAATATCAAAAAGCTAGAAAATTTAGAACAAGAGTAAAGAAAACAATGAGAGGAAAGAACCCATTTGAACCTGGCGAGAGAGAGGCAGAGCTTGAAGAGCTCCGCCGATGAAACTCCAGAACTCAGCAAGATATTTAAGCGATCAGCAACCATGCGGAATTTCAGAGCGTTGATCTCGACGACAGACAATCTCTGCTGTGGGTTTTGAGCAGGAGAAGCAACGGCGCGCACCATCGACTGCAATCCCTCTCTCTCTCTCTCTCTCCCCCTCTCTCTGCAGATTCTCGCTCAACTGCTCAGAGGCGGTTCACATACGCACGATCAGGGATATGCTTTTTCAAAGCCTTTTCCTTTTTTTCCCCTTTTTTTAGTGTGAGGTTGCGGGGGGTGGGGGTGTTATTATAGGCGGATGAGGAACTTAGCAGCTGCACTATTGCTGTTAATGATGAGCATTAATGCCGTGGTTTAGAACTTAGTGGCACCTACCTTGCGCTTTGAAACGAAACTAGTTTGCGGTCCGTGCAAAGCACCGTTTTTTTCCCCCTACAGTAATCTCGTTTTTTTTTAATATAGCATGATTTGAATTTTTGTCAGTGCTACAGTACCCCGCTCTGCTACATTACCTTTTAAATGTTACAGTATACCCGTGTGTATAGTAATATTTTAAATTAATTATTAGATACAGTAATAATGCTACTGTAGTATTTACTGTAGCATAACAGTGAATCTCTGATCCTCCTATTTGTATAAAGGAATAGAAGAGCTGCTCATAGCATATGGTTCTGTGACGGATGTTTTTTTCTTTTCCGTATTAGCCCCAGCTAGTTTTCATTAATTATTGTATTACTCCCTTATTAATTTATAGGGTTATTCAGATATAGTCCGTAATATCGTCAATGATTACATATTGGTCCCTTAAATCTATGAAATTGATCATTGATCCCTTAAGTCCCAAGGGGTCTAGCAACTTGGTCCCTTAATGACCAAAATACTCCTCAGTTATGTTTTACCTCCCAAAAACAAGTAAGGATTTTATTAGAACACCGCATGGAATAGTGTGATCTATGCCGCACATGGGTAGCTAGAGAGTTAAATTGGGAATTGAAACTATTCCATCAAATGTATAAAACACTCTACTCCTATTGAGATGGTTCTGATTGGATCCTCATTGCCTAAAACATCATCTTGTTTAGAAAAGGGTTATTTGCACTTTGATACTTTACGTCCTTTTCAACTTTAATACCTCAGAGTTTTCTTTTCGGGTACTTTGATACCCTTAAGTTTACACATTTTGTATCATTGGTATCTTAAATTTCTTTCTACACTTTGTTATGACAAAAGTTAATTAAGGTTTAAACATCATAAACTTGATTCTAACACGTTAGATTAACCCTAAACACAAGATTAATTGCAAATATCACTTTAAAACTTTATTTTTAAACTATGGTAAGGTTTAGACAGAGGTGATCTTGCCTTTGCACGTGTACAAGCCTCAACGTTCTCCTCACAAACTCTCCCAAAAACTCAACTTTAGGGCTAGGGTTTGAGAGAGAGGAAGAGGGTTGCTATGGTTTGAAACTCTGATGTAAAGATGATAATTTTCGTGAAAACTATATATATATATATATACAAACCCGAAATAAATCTGTTTGACCTGAACAGGAAACCTAGTCTCACTAATAAGTTAACCTTCGGTATTTTGGCTGTAACTTTCTCATCCGACCTCGGAATGAGGTGATATAGGATTTGTTGGAAATTTGTTGAAGAGATCTACAACTTTGATCTTTTGAGTTATTCCAGATTAAAATTGTATCGGTATGTAAAATATATAAACTCTTAACTGGTAATTTTTCTAGATTTTTCTTCGTGCATGTTTTGTGCATTTGCACTCATATATTCACAATTATACACTAGATTGATCTCAAATCAATTTCTATCATACTCAAACATCAAAATATGTTAATTTTAACCATATAACATATTTATTTTTATTTTTCACATAATATTCAAATTTTCGAGGTTTTATATTTTCTTCCCCCTTAAAAAGAATTTCATCCCCAAAATTCCACAATCGTATCCTAGAGATTAATAATACAAAAAAAACACGTTGAGGGGATAATCCAGACAAGGAAATCCTCGCATACACATCTCGCACCATTGATCTTCGGATATGAAACATAGCGATATCTACACTTAACAATCTAGAATGTGAATACTCCCACTTAACCCCTAATTAAAGGGAACTAGTACGTCGGGCGAAAAATTACCAGTTAAGAGTGATTAGGAGTCAAGTGTTAATACAATGAACCCCCCATATATATACCATGTGTTCCGAATGATTAGGAGTCAAGTGTTAATACCATCATTCTAGCATTAAGTATAAACATGACTAAACATCATATATAATCATAACTACCAATGCATATAAGCACATATAAATATCAACATCTTACCTGCTCAAACAGGTGTGGGTAGTCGCGACGTACATCTTCCTCGCGCTCCTAAGAAATCTTTTCAGCTCCATGGAATGACTGTATTTCTAAGCTTTTTATTTTCTCTAGTAAGAATGCATACCAGAGTCTCTACGGTAGCCAAATCATCCGGGATCTCAATCTCTGGTGCATCAATCACCATATGCTGCTCCTCATCGCGTAAATACTTCTTGAGCATCAAAATATGAAAGACATCGTGTACACTCGACATCGATGCCGGAAGCTCTAATCTATAAGAGCATCTCCAACAGCTTCCCCAAAAATTTCTCCAAAATGGGGAATCAAATGTCATATTCTCCAAATTATTTTTGTTCCAACTCCAACAGCTTCCCCATTTTGAAGAATCATGCATTTATTACAATAATAAAAATATTCTACATCTTTGACTAATAAATAATAAATTATTTATTATTTTGAAGAATCCCCATTTTGACCAAATTATTTATTATTATAATGAGGAGATGGAGTTGTTTTTTGTGGGTTGAGTCTAGAAGAACGTGAAAAAGTGATTCCCCAAATATTTGCAGAATGCTGCAGATTTGGGGAAGGCTCTCTATTTTTTCTCTCCTATCCCCATTTTGGGGAATGAGATGGGGAATCTGTTGGACAAAAAAAAAGCTCAAAATTCTCCAAATTTTAGAATACCAAGAAGATAGGAAAGCTGTTGGAGATGCTCTAAGAAACAGCTCCAATATGCTCAATAATCCTGAAGGGACCAACATATCTCAGGACAAGCTTTCCTCGTCTACCAAATCGCTGAACGCCCTTCATTGGTGATACTTTCAACATAATTAAGTCTCCGACTTGGAACTCTAGTGGTCGTCTTCGTTGATCTGCATAACTCTTTTGCCGACTCTGCGTGACAAGAATGTGCTCTCTAATTAATGCCACCTTCTTTGTGGTCTGCCTAATTAGCTCCGGCCCAAGCAATAGGCTATCCTCTGACTATGCCCAACATATAGGCGATCTGTAAGGCCTCCCGTATAATGCTTCATACGGTGCCATTCCGATAGTAGCTTGATAACTATTATTATATACAAATTTAATCAATAGAATATGATCCTCCCACCTACCCTGAAAATCTATCACACATGCTCGCAGCATATCCTCTAACACCTGATTCACCCTCTCTATCTGACCATCGGTCTGGGGGTGAAAAATACTACTAAATGACAACTGGCTACCAAAACCATCCTAAAAACTCCTCCAGAAATGGGATGCGAAGACTGAGCCTCGATCTGATACGATCGTCTCCGGGACTCCATGCAATCGAACGATCTCTCGGATGAAAATCCTCGCATATGTATCCGTCATATAAGTCGTCCTCACAAGTAAGAAATGTGTCAACTTCGTTAACCGATCTACTATCACCCAAATAGAATCATTTCCTTTCTTTGTTTTAGGCAACCCTACAATAAAATCCATGGAAATATCTGCCCACTTCCACTCGGGAATGGGTAAAGGTTGTAGGGTCACTGTAGGTCTCTGATGTTCTTCCTTAACTTGTTGGTAGGTAAAACATTTAGTCACATACTCTGCAATCTCTCTACGCATGCCACTCCACTAGAAATGCCTCTTCAGGTCTTTATATATTTTCGTTGTGTCTGGATGCACTGTATACCTGCTACGATGTACCTCATCAAATAGATCTCTCTTCAGCTGTGGATTATTCGGTATAACTAATCGACCCTTCATCCGAAGGCCTCCATCTGCTCCAATAGTCCAATCAGCCTTGGGTTCCTTGGAAATCTCCTCCTTACGGGTTTGAATCTAAGAGTCCTCTAGCTGAGCTCCGACCACTCTATCGGTCCAAGATGACTGTACTGATAAAGCTCCTAAGAAAGCACTGCTCCCCCCAATCTCTGGCTTAAAATCATAGTGGCTGAGGGTATAAAGATCTTGATGTAATGAATACCTCAAAGCTATAAGCCCGCAACGTCGCTTCCTGCTCAACGCGTCTGCTGCCATGTTCGCCTTCCCCGGATGATACTGTAGTGCAAACTCATAATCCCTAATGAACTCGACCGATGGCCGTTGCCTCTAGTTGAGTTCCTTCTGGGAGAAGAGATACTTCAGACCCTGGTGGTCCGTAAATAGCTCAAACCATACTCCATAGAGGTAATGTCTCCACGTCTTCAGTGCGAAGACCACTGTTGCTAGCTCCAAGTCATGTGTGGGGTAGTTCTGCTCATGAGTCCTCAACTGCCTCGAAATGTAGGCTACTACTCTCTGGGTCTGCATCAAAACACCTCCTAGACCCGATAACAATGTGTCCTTGTAAACAACAAAAGTCTTATCACTGCTAGGGATGATCAACAACGGTGCCGTAGTTAATTTAGTCTTTAAAGTCTCAAATGACTTCTGGTACTCTGGTCCCCAAACAAACTATACACTCTTCTTCGTAAGGCGTGTCAGCGGGGTAGCAATCTTCGAGAAGTCCTGAATGAACTTCCTGTAATAGTCGGTCAGTCCTAAAAACTACGAATCTCTGTAACAGTCTTCGACGTCTCCCAATCAAGTACCACTTCTACCTTAGCTGGATCTACAACAATGCCCTCCTGGCTGATAACATGTCGTAAAAATCTAACCTCAGATAACCAAAACTTGCACTTGCTGAACTTAGCATATAGCTGGTGCTCCTGTAAAGTTTGCAACGCCAATCGTAGATGCTGCTCATGCTCGGCCTCTAATCACCAGTAGATGAGGATGTCGTCGATAAACATGATCACGAACCGGTCCAAGTATGGATAGAAAAACTAAGTTCATCAAATCCATGAATATCGCGAATGCATTGATCAGTCCAAATGGCATGACAAGAAACTCGAAAGACCCATATCGAGTCAGAAAGATGGTCTTAGGAATATCCATTTTCCGCACTCACAAACTCAA